GACAAATGCTATTTTAAAAACCGGGAAAATGGGAATAGAGTGCAGGTCTGCACATTCTCCCACCCCACCCCCAAGCTTGCAAGCAGTGAACAAAAATGATGAGTTATAAACATCATCTATCTGGTGTGCTAAAAGTTCTAGGCCGTTAATTATGGTAAAGACACATAGTACAAGTTACTGTATCTATTACTTAAGGCCAGACATCAGAGTAAATAGAGCACCTACTATGGCCGTATTGTCTCGTTTATTTCTCCCCATTGGTCGCAGAATAGTACAGCTGCTGCCGTTCGTAGTGCTAAAAACGGCAACTCTTCTCGCAGCAAGGCAAGACTTATACGAGGTCATATTTGTGCACCATGGCACATACAGGAAAGATGATGGATTTGAAAGAACTACCTGTAGTTTCATTCACAACAAATAATACTCCATCATATGCCATCAAGTCAATTCTGACTGTTGGTGATCCTTTTCTGGGTTTCCCAGGTAGAGAGTACTCTGAAGTGGTTTACCATGCGCTTTTGCTGAGGGCTCCCTGGCACTATGCAGCTTGCCCCAGGTGACACAGGCTGGCTCTACTTGCAGGAGGCAACCCTCTGGAGCACTAAATTGTGATAGAGCAGGAAGGAGGTTTCATCAGAATGGTTGAGCTTGAACTGCGTTGCTGGATGTTTCTGGTTCTTGGTGTGCCAAGCAAACAAGCGAACTCTTCTCAAAACCACTTCAAACTAGGTCCACTCAGCATCAGCCCAACGTCACCTTTGCAGCGTGAACTGCCATGTTCTGCTCTTGATCACAATACTTGCTTGCTGGTGATGTTAGTCCAAAGGTCCAGCAGGATGCTGGTTGGCTTACATTAAATTTCTTTTATTTCTTTACCTTTCCAACCATAAGTCTCTATCGTACATTTAGCTGTGCCATCATACATGATAACTCCATTTTAAAATAAAAATTGCCCTAAAATTCAGATAAATTTAATTTTTGCAGATACAGCTTAGCAAGTGAGATCAGGAGTGATTGGCACTTGATTTTCCCAACCATTTTCTTTTATCAGAGTTCCAAACCTATTTATTTATATTCCTGGGCCACCTCCAGAGCTTAGATAATGAAAGTGATATCTTCAGAATTCTGTTTTAAATAAGATAGCAAAAATACTATCCCATCAGTAGCAGCTTGCAATTGCAAAAGATCTTTTCCTTTTTGTTTCCCTTTTAAGCCTTCAAATGCTTCAAAAGATGTTCACATTTGACTTTTTCAGATGCAAAGGATTCTACCACTGCAGGTACAGGGAGGAGTTAACAGTCTCAAGTAATATTCCTCTGTTTATAACCTGGCAGGCCTAGGTGTTTCACAACTCATGAATTAAGATTCATGACAAAGCATATTAGGTTGATACTGACTTGTCTTGGAAATGAAGGGAGATGAGTTTGTTTATTGAATATAAAATTGACACCTGTTTTTACAGGGTACATAGATAAAAATCAATATTTACAATAAAGTTAAGGGATATGGAGAAGCAGGTCACTTTATTTCTGAATAGCCAAATACCTGGCCTTGAGTTGGTGGTATTCACTGGCTGAAATCCTGTTGCTGTAAGTTACACTGCATGAGACTGACGATGTCATCAGCCATAGCAATGTTTTTGGATATATAAAAAAACTTTGAAGATACCAGGATTCCCTTGGGAATCCTCTTGTTGTGGGGGAGCTGTTGGGGAACCATGGGGCAGGAGAGATATTTATTTCTGAAAAATTGCCGTAGCTAATGACATCATTAAGCTTTACATGGCGTAGCTTCACAAACAAGATTTCAGCCACTGTCTTGTTAAGATTTAGCTCATGAAACCCAAGTGGCTACTTGCCCAAAACATGATCACTGGATCCAGTTGTGTCAATCCAGGCTTGTCTCTGGGAGTCTATACTTAATTTTGTGCTCTGCTCTATTTTCCTTCCCTGTTCTGTTTACACCAGTGTAGAAGAGCTAATGCACATCGTAGCCGGTGACTGTGCAGAACCAAGTAACGTCCATAAGAATAAGTAACTGCTAAGCCAGGACAGCTACATCATGAGCCCTTGAAAGGGGCAAAAAGAGATGCCAGCTCCTAGACAACAAACTGGTTGGCATGAAAATAAATCCCTTCTTAGCCTCCCAAGGACCTGAGATGCCTGCCTTATAGAAGGGTTCGGTGGGTTGTGCTGCCTCCCCAGCCACCAGAGGGCTGGATTTTGTACAGCTGGCCCTTAATTACGGCAAAGCTGGCTGAAATCTTGCTGGACATGAGTTCTGAGCTCCCCAGACAAGATGGCAACAAGGCGGCAGCAGGCAGCCTCAGCGTCTCACTGTCTGCCCACTTCCTGCCTACTCACCGCCAACCCCCCCTTTTCCCCATAAGATGTGGGGGATATAGAAGCTTCTCTAAAAACCAGTCCTGTAATGGTCAACTCTCAAAGGGAGCCATGGAAGGAAACAAGGAAGTCCAGAGGTATTCTTCCATTTCTGCTGAGAATGACTGATTACAGGGTTAGATATTTTAATACAGTTGTGCCCCGCTAGACGATTACCCCATTTAACAACGAATCTGCTTAACTTTGAAGTTTTTGCAATCGCAAAATGATGTTTAGATTGGGTTTTGGGAACTGATTTTTCGCTTTACAACGATCAGCAAACAGCTGATCGTTGGGTTTCAAAATAGCCACCGGCTTTCAAAATGCCCCCCCGCTGTTTTCTAGGATGGATTCCTCGCTATATAGGCACTGAAAATGGCCGCCGTATGGAGGGTCTTTGCTGGACGAGCAGGTATTCAGCCCATTGGAATGCATTGAACGGGTTTCAATGCGTTTCAATGGGTTTTTTAATTTCACTTGACGTTTTCGCTCTACAGCTATTTCGCTGGAACGAATTAACGTCAAGCGAGGTACCACTGTATCACTTTTTGAATTCTTTCTTTTATTTGAGGTCATTGCTTGCTGAAGTACTCTTCCTGCATCATAAGCAGTTGTGGTACCCATTCCCCCAGCATTTTGTCTTTCAAAATGTGCAAGTGGCAAGTGCGTAGAATGCAGTGTTAAAATATAGTTCTCTGGCCACTGATCTCCATGAGCCAAGCACAGCCCCATTTCTCCTGTTTTATTCCTCCACATTAGGTATCCAAGGAGACCCATTTCTTACACTAATGAAGCACTTTAGTCTGTTGCATCGAATTAGATTGTGCCGTATATATATGTGTGTGTGTGTATGTCCCTTTTTCCTATCTTGATTTTTAAAGTCTCATATCCAAACAGGATTAAACTGTTCCAGTACCTAAGATCAATATGATCCTTCTGCGTGACTGTGTTTACACTGCTTCTCTGTTGATGTCATTTCAGCCGCAGTCAACAGCCATTCTTAGTTAAGATGTGAATGGCTTACATGCAACATTTGAGTTTCAGACTTGTACTGTAACTGTCATTATTCTTGAGAAAATTATAGGAAGGGCTGGAGGGTGGGGAACCAGAGGTACGGCTTTACAGGTAATGGGATGCAGTAGGTCAACCAACCTGTAAAGGGAAGGTGTGCTCTCTTTTCCTTCTAAAACGCTGGTTTCTTGTATACCTTGGGAAGAGGAATGTTGAAGATGTAAAATGTTTATGCTTTGCTGCGTCAATGCTTTTGAATTCTAAATAGAGATTGTGTCCTGTTTCCAGAATATGTTGGAACAAAGTTTTTAAAACCTCACCTGTTTATATCTCTTTCCTGTCATGCCAGACAAGGCATTTCTCACTGATAAATCAGCCTCTTACAGTATTGGTAATTCTGTGCACACATCAAGGCAGGTAGGCAGTGATTGCTCCAGAGGATATTTTCTGTGTATTGGTGATTTGTGCGAGTTCCAGCAATTCCTGCCGTCTTGATGCCTTCTTCATACATGCAAACTATGCAAATATATAAATAGGTGGATAGGTTTTAAAATAACAACTTAGCATTTTAATTTCAGTTACAAACTTAATGGTGTAAGTGGCGTACTTCTTGACTCTTTTGAATGTTCCCTTTTCGCCCTGCACCCACTGCTGCTGAGTGATATTTCTTGGTAGCAGTAAGTACCCTTGCTCTGCAAGGAAGCTTTGCAAGGAAAAGCTCCCGCATCCAAAAGTTCTTCCCAGCTTGGCCTAGAAGGATTTGGTAGCAGATGATGTGAAAAACCTTTGCCTACGGCCAGGCAGGTTGCAGAAGTGCACAAACCCAAAAGGTGTTCTCCTTGTCGCTGATTCTCCCTTTTGCCCTTTAAGTGGCAAATGTATTTAATTTACTTTTTTTTTTAAATGGGGGGCATTTATGATGAGGGGCCATAAATATGGCAGAAATGACCTCACATAAGTGATTTTTGGAGGGGGAAACATGACAGACAGGGTATGTGTTCTTCATTTCTCCCATCCCTGTCGTCACCTCTGGAGAGATGCTGTTAACTGCATGATCCAATGTAGCCGTTTTAAAGAAGTAGCTGTGTTGGTCTGCTTTAGCATATGTAACCGAAATGAAAGTATTCTGCCATTGTAAAAACTTAATAGATTTATTGTACTGGGTGTTGTAGTAGATTTGTGCTTGAGGAGGTGGACTGTAATCTATAAACGCTCAGAATGAAATAAATCTATTAGTCTTTAAGGTGCCACAGTACTTGCGTTTTGGGTGGTTTGCGTTATACATCACCTGCGTTGATCATGTGTAAAGCAGCTTCTGGCGTTCCTGGAATAAAAAATGAGAGGAAGGGAAGACATGTCCGATATGCACAGACAGCTCTTCCCTTTTGAAAAGATGTCTGCGTTTCTCTGTATGTGTGCACACACCAAATCAGGGTGGGAGGGATGTAAGGGTTTCTATAAGTACAGCTTCCAAA